TGGTCTTTGCCTTGGCCAAGATGCCAACAGGGTCCGCATCTCGGACTTTCTCCATTCTCTGCTGTACACCGGCAGGAGCCCCCACATGCTAAGGAACACAGCCCACCCCACCCCAATAGCCTTCTGTCAGTGAGCCATGAACAAACCATACACAGAGAGAAGCTTCTTTTTTTCTTCAATTTAATTGAAGTTACTTAGAAAAATAATCAGGCTTGAATGGCTTTTCCTGGAGGAAGGTTCAGGAACATTTCACGCTTTTGTTGGCAATGTGGAATTCAGCTTTCTTGAACAGTACAGTAAGATACAGGGAGAGGTTTCTACAACAAGCCCTCTACTGCATACAAATATGTAAAAAAAAAATCACACTCCACAGAGATGTTAAATTATATGTCCATATGCCATACTGAGCATGCTCCTAAGACAATAGTACGGGCAGCCCCTTCCGTACCTGACAGAGTAGCAGACTGCAAAGCGCCTGTTAACGGCCAACAGGCAAGCTGGCTGTAGAAGGTCCTGTTGCCTGTTCATAGGGCCTAGTTGGTTGTGATGGGAAAAGGCTGGGGGAAATGCTGGTTGTAGGAACGTGGGGGAGCGATGAGGTCAGTCCTGCTGACATAGGAGTGGGCAAGGGAAGGATTCTGCTCCCCAGGTCTGCACAAATTGTGTGCGCGTGCGTGTGCGCGTGGGGGAAGGACTGGGCTGAGAGATGTGCTCTGAGCATCACCCACCGGGACAGAGTCCCTTGGCTTCTTGCCAGGTTAGAACAGGGACTTTTGCAATCACCACCTCAGCACTAGTCCAGACCCCACCAGCTAAGTGTGCTAGGGACTGGCTTTAGTTATGGGAACTTTCTATGGCAGTGATGGCGAACCTTTTGAGTTTGGCATGTCAGCATTTTGAAAAACCCTAACTTAACTCTGGTGCCGTGTCACATATAGAACTTTTTTGATATTTGCAACCATAGTAAAACAAAGACTTATATTTTTGATATTTATTTTATATATTTAAATGCCATTTAACAAAGAAAAATCAACCAAAAAAAATGAGTTCGTGTGTCACCTCTGACACGCGTGTCATAGGCTCGCCATCACTGTTAGAGGCTGCCCACATTCCTTGCCACATGGCCCCTTCCACCTTCAAGCAAACAGCACCGAATCAAATCCTTCTTGTGCTTGGATTTCTGACTTCTCTGGCTGTGATCTCTCTCTCTCTCTCTCTCTCTCTCTATATATATATATATATATATATAAATTGATGGCATGTCAGCATTTTGGAAAACCCTAACTTAACTCTGGTGCCGTGTCACATATAGAAATTTTTTGATATTTGCAACCATAGTAAAACAAAGACTTATATTTTTGATATTTATTTTATATATTTAAACGCCATTTAACAAAGAAAAATCAACCAAAAAAATGAGTTCACGTGTCACCTCTGACACGCGTGTCATAGGTTCGCCATCACTGTTCTATGGGCAGGATTCAGACCCTGGGCTTCCAGGGCTCTGCCACCAGGAGGCCTGGTCTGACTGGAGTTTCCACTGCCCACTGCTCTCCTGTGGCATCCAGGTCCTGAGCAAGCAGGACGGTGAAGCTCACCTGGTGGACAGGTAGGAAGGGAGGAAGGTCCCCTCTGAGACACCAGGGTCAGCAGACTGCCCTTCTTCCCAGACCAGCTGGGGAGGCGGGGAGCGGGGTGGGGGCAGAGAAGGTGCAAGGATTCCAACGCTGTGGCTAATAGGTCAGCAGGAATGTCCTTGTCAGTACTACCCTGGCTGTACCTGGTTTTGCGCACACGGCAGCACCCTTGAAAAGTGGCTCGGAGGTGGGACCCCTGCCTGTACTTTTCTCCAGCTAAGCACGCCACAGCAAGCATCTCAAACAGTTTTCTTTAACAAAACCCCACAAAGTTTTGTTTTCCAGGCACATTTTTAACCATGAATTCTTTTTAACCAAGGACACACTATTTTCTACATTCGGCAAAAACAGTGGAATCAATTATAAATTTTTCATACCATTAGAAAATGAAACCTGAAAACAAAACACAAGGAGAATCTCTCGCTGCAGAACCATAGTGATGTATCATCCCCTGAGGGACAATCTTTCTCACTGTAGAGAGAAAACGGATGAAAGAAGGCGACCTGCACACAGCACCGAGCTCGCTTGCACAGCTGATCAAAGACAGGCACGGAAACGCAAAAGTCAGGAAATCTAAGCGACTTTCCATTTAAAAACCAAAGAACTCACAGTGAACAACTCCAACCTATGGAACCGAAGAAGCGCTCATCAAAAGTTGAGCTCACTCTGCTTGCATTGAGCAGCCTAAGGCTTGAGGCATAGGGGGACCACTTTGGCCTTATGCCCTCCCTCCCCCCACTTCTGTCCATACCACCCAAAACTTTCCTCTACTGGCTTGGGAGGGATGAGGTATTGCCTGTGGTAGAATCCAGGATTAGAACCATTACACGTAAGTTAAAGTTGAATTCATTGGATAAGGTACCTACCTCTGTTGCTTGGTCACTGTGGTGCTGTTTGATTTTGATTTTTTTTTTTTTTTTTTGGTTTTTGGAGGGGGTAAGAGGCAGTTTTTATCCTTGAAGAACTCAGATGGGCTAAATCAACCTAACCAAAGTATACTCTGCGGAACGCTAGCTCTGTGAGATGATCTGCAAAATAGAGAATTCTGGTCACGTAAGTTCAGGAAATGCTGCTGACGCAACGATCCTCTTGGGATTGGCAATGCACAGCACACACTTAGGGCTCTGAAAAGTCCCGCAGAAAGGAAACTGACTTCACTTCGTTTGCCAAGGATACGTGACCACAAAACTCTCATTTTGCATCACATGAACTTGACATCCCCTAGGACCTGTGTTCTGTAGAGCACACATTTTAAAACGATGGACAGCCTGTTTTGTCAGCAGAAGCCCTGTTTCTGAGGACAGTTTCCTTTGCCTGGAAATAGAGTTCAGAGTCCCAATTCCAGGGACAGCCGGAGACTGTCCCTCGACGGGTAAAACATGTTGCATAAATCTCTATCCATCCAGGGTAGAGTCGCTGCGCCCTTCACAAGGGGAGAGAGCGTGGAAGGAGGTACACAGCATTTATAAATAGCTCTGGCCACCTCCTCCCGGGCACCCCTCACTCACATTCAATAAAATAATTTTCTCGGTGAGATGTGGCAGCTGCTGCTCACGGAGCTGGCTCTGAGCTTTATCATACAATTTTCATAGTTTCTGTGAATAAATTATTCATTTTTTTTGTTTGTTTTAGAATAGTCTTCTCACCCCTTGGCTATAGGCTGCATCAAAAAACGAAACAAAAAGCAAAACTTACCCACACCCCAGCCCACCCCATCCCCTATTGTTAGAACTATTATTATTATTATTATGTACAATATCTGCTACCAACTCATTCACTAGCTGCAAGAGAGAGGTGGCTCAAATGTCAACCGAGACGTGGGAAATGGCTGCAGGTGAGAAGCGGGAGCAGGTGTTCATTAGCAAGGAACCGGAAGTGGGCGTTTCCAGCCTTCCAGAGGAAAGGGGCGTGAATTACCATCACGGAAGGCTGTCCTTGCTGCTCATGCGTGGCGATCACACAGGTGCTGATGGCCTCTTAGCCTTGGGAGGACTTGAGAGAGGGTGTGCATGTGCATGTGTGTACCTGGAGTCCACCCCTGACCTCCATGAGGGGTAGAAACGCCAGACCATTGCAAATCCCCGAGGGTAGGAGTCCTGCCACGGTGTTATGTGGCAAGAGTAGGAAGCAACATGGAGACGTGGGTGCTGGGCTGGAGATGGCAGGAGGTGGCACTGGAAGCAGCTGAAGCTCCCTTTCCCTCACCCAAAGCAGACATCACTAATCGATCACCGCACTCTTCCAAGCTGTGCCTGGCAAGTCTATTCTGGGGTTAAAGGTGGACACTACCAATACCTTAGAGCAGGCACAGGATAGGAGATATTTTTGCCATCTATTGTGTGGGGCCTTGAGCTTGGATGACGCACCAGGTTCGGGGGCCTGCTCCAAGCATGTGGTTTTCAAATTTGGGTCATAGAAAAATGCAAATTTATAGGGGTCATGGACCTGCTCATGAACAGCCCAAGATAGCGGAGGTTTGCTAATTGTCAAGCTGGATACTCGGTGTTCATGTAAAGCTTCTTGAGGGCCGAGACTACTGGTTTTGTTCAATGCTCTATCTGCAGGGCCTAGAATGAGGCCCAGCACATAGTAGTTGCTCAATAAATACTTGCTGACTATAAAGCAACAGCCATTTCATCTTCATCACAACTGGCACTGCCAGTTAAAAATTTCTTTAGAAAAGCTTATTCTATCAGACTATTAATTCCGATGGGGGGAAAATAAAAAGCTACCATCAGCTCTCTCCTTGGGTTAAAAAAAAATCACATTTCTTTAGGGCAAGGGACTTTGGGGTTGATTGAAAATCGGTGTGGAATTAGTCCCTTGCAAAGGTGCCTCTTTCCGTTTATTTCTGGAAGAATGTCAAGCACGGTGGCATCAACACACATCACAATGGCTCTTATCACACAGTGAGTCTATGAGCGGCGACTGAGAACATTCACGCCCCCAAGTGAGCTAGAGCAAGCGCAGAATGAAACACAGATTTCTTATGGTGCCACACCAAGAAATCTCTACAGACACTATGCTTAAATAACTATAAATAATATTAATTAGAATTTATGGAATGCACAGTTCATGGAATTCACCGAAACACAAGGAAACCTTTGAGACAGTGTTGCAGTACTCATGTCTAAAACCAGGGACACCCACAACTATTCCCCTGCAAAGACAGCTGTCCTTCCCTACCAAGGATTTTAAATAATTCTCACTATGCTGCTCGCAGCATCATCCCCAAAGAAATATTAATTTACAAAATAACCCAATATTCATATAATTCTTTTGACAAATAAAAATCTTAAATTAAAAAGCATCTTTCTCTCCCTCGTCCCCCCC